ATGAAAATGTTTTCTTTCATTGAGCAGCAGCTTCTGGATCAGAATGATCTGACCTTTGAACTCTGAGCCACTCTTCGTTTTCTGACACGTAGATCAGATTTAGGAAATAGTTTGTCTGCGGCGGCGCTGGGATGGTTTCCACACAGACAGCGGCGACGTGCCTCCAGGAACAGCGGCTCCATGACGGTTAATTGGTGCAGCTTCCTCTGCAGACGGCTGTAATGGATCCTGAGCTCTGCCTACGTGCCGCTCAGAGCGTCCACGCTGATGGAGCGATAAGCTGCTGCAGAAAGCTGAGCCGCTGGGGCTGCCATGACAGCAGAGGGGGGGCAGCTTCCACCTCTGTGGAAAAGTATTCACACCTCCACAGATCTAACTGATAAAATCTAGCTATCTAAAGGCTAACCATGCTAACGTGGCAGGAAAAGCTCCTCCCCTTAATCTGGAATGGTGACTGAAACCATATCTACATCCTCGCTGACCTCAGAGGTTACCAGACCTCCAGAAATGACCCAAACAGAACCTTCCTGACAGCAGGAAGCAGGAGAAAGGATTTCAGGCTGGAAAAGGTTCCGGGTGCATTTCTAAGTCCAGCAAACCACACAGATGTAGAACACATAGAAGAGGGAAGAACCTTCCCAGGAGAGAAACCGGTCTGCAGGCGTCACCGCCTCAGCTAAAGGTCAGAGGTCATCACACATGGAGACAGAAAGAACTTGCCTCCATGGAGCGTCTAAGGCCGTTCTCAGAATCAGAACCTCATAGCTGGAGTTAAACACGGTGGTGGTAGTGTGATGATGCGGGTCTCCTTGGTTCCATCAGGACCATGGTTCCGGTCGCTCTGCAGCAGGCCAGCGACCCAAACATGTTCTCTCTTTGTGCGAATCGGAATGAATCAGGGATCCAGAACATGGTTCTGGATCCCTGATTCAGAACCGGGCCGGGCCTGCTGGGACCAGAACATCTGGGTAGTTCTGGACTCTAGCAGCAGGTTCTGAAGGAGGAGGTCTAGGCCGGAAATGTGGGCAAATCAGAACCATTCTGAAAAATCAAAGCGGGTCAACATTCCCCCTCTGGGTGGGAAGAGTTTTTCAC